GGGGAACCACTGTGCCTCCATTCCTTAGACTGTTCCTTTGTCTCAGGATCATGACAGTAGATCCATGTCTCATCACCAGTTACCAGTTTGCCCAGGAAATCTGACTCATTTCTTGCAAAATGTTCCAAAACAGCCAATGACTCAGTTGTCAAAAGTTTGGGGATCCACTTTGCTTCCAGCTTTCTCATTTCCAAGTTGTTGTGAATAATGGCACCAACTCTCTCATGTGATATTCTCATATATATAGCAATACTTTTGGCTGATATTCGGCGGTCCTCCATGATCATGTCATGGATGCAGGCCCAGAGACAGAAACAGGCCTTCCACTGGATTTCTCACTTTCAACACCGAAATAGCCAGTTTTAAAATTGACAACCCAACGTTTAACTGTTGCATATGAAGCGCCACTGTCACCCATAGTTTGTGACATTTCATCATGGATCTGCTTTGCACCTTTTCCTTGGTGAAACAGGAACTTGATTATGGTCCTATGCTCTTCCACAATGAACTTTTCTGGAGGTGCCGCCCTGTTCACTTTGGACCTGAACATGAAATATAAGTTAAAATCATAGGTGGTTGATTTTTGCACCACTGAATACAGACAAATTGGCCAATACACCCTGGAATTCATAGCCTCCTAGCTCATTTTTTTCTGGGAAAGGCTCAATATTTATCAGCACCCCCTTGTACACATTTGCGCAGGAATATGTCCCATTGTTATTTAAATTGTGATTTAAACCATTTTTTTTAAAAAAGAAAAACCACTGATTTTTATTTGCCCTCTTTAGAAGTATCTGCACCAGGAGAATGTAGCCATCCTTTTATTTACATGAGTTTCAGATTGGAACTTATCAGGCTGTTTGCCGTTCCTGTTCCTTCCAGGCTGAATTCAAAGGATCACATTTCTAGCCTTGGGACCAGGCAGTTTGAAGGGCAGAAAATACCTATTCAAACCCAGGTTGACCAGAGAGGCCTGGCTTATGCAATCACTTGTAAAATGTTTCAGGCCAGTTTTCTGCCGTGGTCCCATCCTCCCAGCCTGACTAGGGAATGGCTGCCTCTCTTGACTGTTTTTCAATGAGCCCTAAAGATCTAATTATTCTAGGTTGGTTTTAGTTGTCTTTTGGAGTTGCATAATATGCTGGCCAGAATCTTTTGGGTCTGGGCTAGAAATTTTGCAACTGGTGTATATGTGATTCTTTTGGCTGGCTGTCTTGTGCTCAGATGTATACTCGAGGCATGCACCTGACGGTGCAAAAGGGTGCATGCCCAAGCGTACCACAGCCAGCCAGGAAATTACACCCCTTGGTGTTTTGCAGTAGGATTCTGGCTTCTTTAAAACAAGGCAGTCTGTCAGTCAGTTTTCGTCCACTAATTTCACAGCACAATCCTGTACATATTAAAGACTGATTATACAGCACAATCCTAGACACATCTTGCTCAGGAATAAGTTCCGCTGTTTTGATAAGGACTCCAAGGTAAGGGTGCTGAGGACAAAGGCCTTAATTTGTTTTCACCCCTTCTTTCCGAGAGTCCCTTCTATTTGTGATTTTCCTTTCTGACACTTCCTAGCTCCTCTCACCCTTTGGCTTTGATGTTCCACCCCTTCCCCTTGTTATTTTCCTCACTTCGCCTCCAGTCTAACTTCACGGCATCCCTTTCTTCTTTGAGGTGCCCCGGGCTAAATGTCTCAACAATCTCTCCTCCAAGGAGGAGAAATAATGGAACTTATGACATTCTTCTTCACGGCAACTTTTCGGAGTGGGACAAAATGTGATTCAATTTTTAAAAGAAACATATGTATTTCCACGCAGCCTCAGAAAAGTTGGGATGGGAAGCAGTTATGGTTGCAATCTTACATAAATTTACGTGGGAGTAAATCACATTAAATGCACTGGCCGGAAGTCAATGTGTGTGTTTAGTCGTTTAGTCGTGTATAAATTTAACTGGGAGTAAATCACATTAAATGCACTGGAAGTCAAGCTTTGCATGAAATAACCCATTTCTATCCTTTTCCTTCTAGATTCTGAGGCTCCCTAAGGTTCCCTTTTTGCCCTGGGAAGCCTTGGGAGATGGGGGGGGGGAGCCTTTAATAGTAAAAGTCTATTTTTAATAGTAGCAGGCTATTTTCTACTTTTAGAGGCTCCAGTCCATCCTATCCCCCACCATCCTGAGGCTCCCAAAGGCTTCCCCAGGGTTAAAAGGGAGCCTCAGGAAGCCTCGGAATCTAAAAGGAGGATAGAACACTTTTAATTACTTTAGATCAGTGTTTCCCAACCATGCGTCCCCAGACGTTCTCGGACTAAAACTCCCAAAAACCTTTACCACTAGCTGTGCTGGGCAGGATTTCTGGGAGTTACAATCCAAGAATATCTGGGGACCCAAAGTTGGGAAGCACTGCTTTAGATTAAATGTTTCCTGTGCCTGATCTGGGTTATACCAGTGCAGTTGGGGCGGGCAATTAATTTCTATAGGGGGGCCACATGAAAAATCTGAACTGTGTTCAGGGGCCGAACCAACTTTACTTAAAAATAAAATGAAACAGTGATGTTATGATTGTTTTTATTTTAAACTTGTTAATCTTCACAAATACTAAAGAGATTTTTTGTGGCATGTTAAAGATAAGCAACTGATCAACTTTAGACAAAAAGCTATAAATGGTTTTGACGTTTAAGACTGTCCGCAGGCTGGACAGGAGTGGCTCGTGGGCCGTATGTGGCCCTCGGGCTGCACTTTGCCCAAGTCTGAGTTACACAAACAGAATTTTGCTCACCCTTACTTCTAAATAGACAGACACAGGAGCTATACTGTTAAAAGTAAGATCCTATTACTGTGAACAAATTCTTGCCAACCAATTAGCGTTAATAAATGAACTTACTTCATGGGCAGACAAAACAAATTAAACACAATTGGCTTTTAGACAGCCAGTAAATACTATCTGTTCCAGCAATTTTTTTCTGATCAATGTTCCTCGCTGGTTTTCAAGGTTCTCCTGCATCACTGCAGTATTGTTAGAATACAACAGGAAATTCCCAACTTCAGTAGATGCATTAAATCAGTGGGTTTTACCTACATTTTTTTTTACTATTCTGCAGTTGATTCAACAACAGATTACCTCCAGAGGGGACTAGCACTGGATCTAAGCCTAAACATTTTATTACAGTTCTGTACTACTTGGTGGCTTACATAATTAAAAGACAATATTTAAACAAATAAGAGTGCGTATAGAACAGGGAGTTCAATGGTAAGCTGTAGTGGAATTCCTGAAGTTTGCTTTCAAACAGGTCAGTTTAAGATGGGGATGTAGTACAATCTGTTATACAACTGCATGCGTAGAAAACTGAAAATTGGCCCAGTGAGCAGACGATCAAATGTAAAGATGGCAGGAGATACGGTAGGTAAACACAACGCTTGTGGGCAAAACCATGGGAACAGGGCCACCTTGTGGACTTTTTTCTGCATACCATTACTTCTGCACAAAGACATGCGCCAAGCTAAAGGTCGACCTCAATCTTGCACGATGGCAATGTTTCCTCCTAGTCTTCCCATAGTTCTCCAAAGTCTGCTAAATTTATGCAGCAACTGCAAATGCTAACAGTTAAAGTATAACTAGTCTGCGCTAAGTGCTCCCAAATATGTACTTTTGCTTAATAACACAAGTGGCTTGCCAAAAGAGACCGAAGTC